TCTAGGCGGTTTCCAGGCGTCTTACAGACTCTGGCGGTGCGGAAGATCTGGTCCCGATGTTCAGAAACGCGCTCTATTTATACCGGTTTTCGGCGCGCGCGTCTGCGTAATTTGCCTATTGTTCTAACGGTATCTGGTTTATCGTTGAACCGGCGCGCGCGACTCGGGTATTTTCGGTAACGGTCGGGCGGTTACCCGAGCGCGTCGTCGGCTCTCGATGTTTTCGCGCGCCTAACGGCGGTTATATGTTTACGCGTTTCTGATATTATTTAAAAATGGGCGCTCAGCGCCTCCGCATTTGTCCGACCGGTGTTCGTCGGGCGGCGGACTTCCGGTGGATCGGCGGCCGGGTACGGTCTAGTAACGATGGGGGAATGCATCGTTACACGTTTACCTAAAAATAAATAAATTTTCAAAACACTTCTCTGTGTAATTCAGCCAATGGCTGCGTTTGGCAGAATGCAGCAATAAGCGATTGGATTTGATTGGTATATTTCAAAGTATTAATTAATCATGCTATTGGCTTAAACCAATGCATTTTGTTGAACGCATTCATGACTAAGAAACACACTTAACTTACGAGGAACATGATCATTATCATCTAAAACTATATCAGAAATAGCACAGCTGTTCACACTGGAGGAGCTTGAAGCGGAGCTAATGCTTGCGGACCTGCCTCTTGATGTTGCAGCACCAGTAGATGAAACAGTTGATAATGGCGCCATGTATGGCTTTTCGCCGAGAAAGCGTTCCATAACCTAAACAGTTAATATAGCATTAAAGGCAATAATATATATGTTTAGAAACTTAAAAAATGGTCACTCTTCTTTCTTTTATATCATATACTTACTTCAAAATATTGCCATGTCCGCTTATTGTTACCGGACTTTCCGTTGTGATCTTTGACGGCTTTGTATGTTCGTTTCATGGTATTAATTCTAGTGGTGCATTGCTTGCCTGTCACAAAATACCCATTAGCATTCATCACTTCAGCAATTTGATCCCATGCCTTTTTATGGGTAATTTTTCCAGAAGACATGTTTTCCTCCCGCTGTCTATATTCTTCTAACAAGAGCATTATAGCTGCATGAGGCCATCTGAAACCTGGATTGCAAACCAAGTCACAAAAAAGTTGTAACATTCACAAAACGTTACAATAACAAACTATATTTTAAAATTTTCTTACCATCCACCGATGATTCCTCCTCTCCATTTTTTCTCGAGAAATGTCCATTTCAGTATCTACGAAAAAAACACATATCAATTTACAAAAAAGTATAATATGAAAGAGAAATTGTAATATCAAAAAGAAGAAACAAAAGAAAATAACAAACCAAATGTTTCTTTCACTAAAGTATTATTTGAGGAGCAGGTAGAAAATGAGGGTACATGCTGAGGTGCTTCTAAAAGAAAACAATCATGTGAAATAAAAATGCCATGACTGATAGTTAATACAATACTTATTATCAAACCATGTACCATTTTGAATCGAAGTTTGACGTGCAACATTCAACAAGGTAGTAGCAAAAGTTATATCTGGAAACAAATAATCATGACAATAAAGTAGAACAAAGAGATGCAAATAGAATAAACACTTCAAAATTAAATCAGCAATATAATAAAAAAAACTTATTGAGTAATTGAGTTACTAAGGCCGTACTACACAAAAGTAAATGAGAAATTATTTCAAAGTGACTAGCAGGAACATATTTTGTAACAGAACACATATTTTTTTAACATGCGATTAGATAAAATAGTAAAGAAAATCTAAGCAATCCGCGATTAAAATGTAAATATTAAACAATTTTAATCTAGCACTCTTACCAGTTTGTGCTCTAGGAGCATCATTCTGAGACAGTTTAATTTTGAACTGCTCTTCAGATTCGGCGTCCTGAAGATTTACTTCAACATAATAGTCATCCATAATGCAAAATCAAATCAATCAAATCAGTAATGCAAATCGCAAATCAAAAGTCATGTCTAAACTTGTACTAAAAATGTACATATGTACAACTTAAATTAATAGTGCTACCACTGTTCAGAGAGCTCACAAACGCTAACGCTATCGTTACACCACCTCGGAAGGAATAGCGTTGATAGCGCGCAGTTATAACGTAGCACACTACCATTAATGACGTCATGATTGCGTTTGATAGCGCTACCAGCTAGTTCCGCGAACAGCCGATAGCGCTAAATAGCGCGAATAGCGTCTCCCCGAACGCACCCTGTATATACTGTGGCGTGGCCGCGTTGTGCGTGCTGACCTCCCAGTCGCTGTCGGATTGCGTCGCTTGGTCAATCAGCAATGTAGGGAGCGATTGTGTGCCCCTATGCACTCGTACGGTTGGAAGCGATTGTGTGCAGTGATGCCAGAAACGGGTCCCGCGGCTCACGGCTCAGCAATGGAAGGGGTAACGCACACAAGCGCGAGCCGTGTACATGTGGCACATGTCAGATCACATGCAGTATCCTCAGAAGGTTAACGTTTGGGCCGGAATAATATTTAATCGTATTATAGGACCGTTTTTTATTGAAGGAAACATAAATTCTCAAAATTATTGCAATTTGCTAAGAAATCAAGTGATACCGGCTATTCAGGATATTGCTGGAGAAGCTTTCCACAATGTTTGGTTTCAGCAGGATGGGGTTCCGGTTCATTTTTCTCTGGAAGCTCGAAATATTCTCAACGATGTTTTTACTGATCGATGGATTGGTAGAAGAGGCACAATAGAATGGCCACCGAGATCACCAGATCTAACCCCATTAAACTTCTTTTACTGGGGGTATTTGAAAACAAAAGTTTATGAGACTAGGTCCGAAAATTTAGAAGAGCTGCGGGAAAAAATAGTGAACGTTTCAAATTCAATCATACCCAATTTTTTAACTAACGTTATCGATACGTTTTACATTCCGCGGGGTTCTTATCTCTGTTGTGACACACACACACGCACACACACACACACACACACACTCAGGACACGCGCGTGCCCGCGTGAAGCCTTATCTTTCTTCTGTTGTCGCGAAAGGGGCCAAACAGATGGAATGTTGGCAGTTTTTACATGATTCTCTGGGAAGTGTGTTACAGTGGTCCAGACATCAGGACATCTCCTCAAAATTAAAATTTATATATTTAGAAAGATAGACACTACAATTATAAAAAAAATTTTATTGGTTCCGGAACATGCCGTATGTTCAAAAATGCAAATAAACTTACCATATTTTAAAACATAAGAATATATCGCTTTAATATGATAACAGCACAATATGAAAGAACCTCGAAAATTGTAGGCTTACTAAAAGCCTACTTAAAATAAAGATTTATTAATGTAAAAGTCTTAATGTAAAATAATAAAAATCCAGTCAAATTAAAATCATTGATATCATTGTAATATCGAGAGAAAAGATAAATTAACTTTCTAACTTATAATCTTGAAATCATTTTAGTTCAGAGATCAGCTCTTAACATCTAGTTATATAATTAAAATATCATCTTTCGAAGTAGTATTTATTAGATATGATTTAATACCTCAAGCTCATTATATTAACCAATAAAAACAGTGGAAGGCCTATTTGAGCTAAATAATTGGGTAGTTTATTATTAATTTATATAAAATAATATATTTAGCGAAAGTGCGTCTCAATTTTTTAATCATTATCATTGAAATTTGGCTAATACTGATTGTATTATTATATATGAATTAATGATAAACTGCCCAAACTGCTCGATTCAAGAACAGGCCTCTTATTGGATTAGTATTTATTAGAAACAGGATTTATACATATAAAAGGATAGAAGTAATGAAAACCCAGTCAAATTAAAATTGTTGATTTATTGTAATACTGAAAGAAGGAAGAAACAAACTTTCTAACTAATAATCTTAAGATTATTTTAATCCAAAGATCAGGTCTTGACATCTAGTTATATAATTAAAATATTTTCCGAAGTAGTCTTTATTAGTTCGAAATTAAAATTTATATATTTAGAAAGATAGACAGCATAATTTAAAAAAAAAATTTTATCGGTCCCGGAACATGCCGTATGTTCAAAAATGCAAATAAACTTACTATATTTTAAAACATAAGAATACATCGCTTTAATATGATAACAGCACGATATGAAAGAACCTCGAAAATTGTAGGCTTACAAGAAGCCTACTTAAGTTAAATACGCCAATATATTGGTATATACATCCGAATGTACGTACATCTGGTTGTACAGACCCGGAATCTGTCCTTATATATCAGAATCTGCCCTTATATATCACACAGCAGATTCCGGGACGTCCTGGAAACTGCCGTAGGATCTAGATTTTTTCCAGGACTGGTCTGGAAAATGCCAAATGTCTTGGAAGTAACGATATATATATATATATATATATATTGTAACAATACCGTTACATAACCTTGCGGGCCGACCAGCCGCCCGCATTCCGAGGCTCGGCGCCTATGGCGCCCCTAAGGGTACGAACATAAAGGAAGCAGGTTTTCTGCTTTCCGATAACCAGTGCCGATAGGCGCCGATTGGCCTTAAGAATATATACGTGTTATCATATGAGACCGCGCATAATAAAAACAGATTCGGACTTGTCCGCGCCTGTCATCGGCGCGAGCGAATTTACCGGAACGAATTTTTAGTTCTTCTTGCTGATTGTAAGCGCCGGTTGACTCTTGAAACGCTGCAAATGGACATCGATAATTTAATTTCAGCAATTTTCGTAAGATCTCCAATATGGGATAAAAGAAATAAAAATCATTCTAACAGAAATGTAATTGAAAAATGTTGGAAAGAAATAAGTAAATAAGTAAATGCGGAAGGTAAGTAAGGAAGTATTATTTTTATAAGATATTATACAATTTTATTTTTGTATCCAAGTTATATTAATTTTATGATTGTAAAATTGAATCTATAAATAATAAGACGATTTAATAACTTATTAGAGATACAATTGATTTCCTTCTTTATTATACGACAAAGGATTATTTGAAAAAAAAGTAGTAAATATATCTCTAATGGTTTTCGCTTCATTACGTGATCTGCCTCCTGTTTGTCTTTGATAATTTCTTTGAAATTCAATAGACACATCAGTTAGATTCCGCTCAAATCCCTCTTTATCTATTATAGTATTATGCAAAATACAAATACATTTTATAATATTATCTGTCACATCAATGTCGGTTTCAATGCATTTTGAAAGTAAGCGCCATTTAGAATATAAAATTCCAAAAGAGCATTCAATAGTTTTCCTAGCTCTAGATAAACGTTTATTGAAACACTCCTGTTCAATGTTTAAATTCTTTCCACTAAATGGTTTTAGAGGAAAAGGAAGAAGCGGATATGCTTCATCTCCTATTAATACAAACGGTGTTTTTATATTTGTTTGAGGAAGGTTGCTAGGCTCTGGTATGTCGAGTTGCTTATTGTTCAGTAATTTATATAAGTCGGAGGCTTGAAAAGTGCCACCATCACTTTGTTTATCATATCCCCCTACATCTACCGTTATAAATTTATAAGATGCATCTGCAACGCCTTGCAATACAATAGAAAAATATTTTTTATAATTAAAAAACATTGACCCTGAATTGTTAGGACATAAAACACGAACATGTTTGCCGTCAATGGCCCCAATACAATGAGGAAAATTCCAAATATTATAAAAATCTTCAGCTATTTTTTTAAAAGTATCCTTTGTCGGTACTGGCATGTGCTCTGATTGTAATCCATCCCACAATGCAATAACAGTTTCGGAAATAATTTTTCCTACTGTAGATGAGCCCATTCGAAAAGTAAATGATAAAGTCTTGAATGAGCAACCGGTTGCTAGATACCTGAAATATGTATAATCATTTAATAGAAAATGTTTGGTTTATAAAAATATTTTGCAAAATTTAGTTTTCAAATACATAATTTTATATGTAAATATTAAAAAGATTGTGATTTTTAACAAACCTTCTTTCAGAAAACATATTGAGAAAAAAATGGAAATATCTAAGAGATCAGTCTGCTGTTGAGCTTGGAAAAATCCCTCCTTCTCGTTCAGGAGATGCTGGAGATTCTGCATCCACTTCAAAGTGGCCACATTTTCAATCATTATTATTTCTTAAAGACATTGTAAGACCCAGATTCTCGACTGGGAATTTGGTCACAGAACCTGAAATTCATCCTACTTCATCAGGAGAGGCAGAAGCTCCAGCAGATGATGTAGAAGATTCGTCTCATGTCTCTGAATGTACTGATACTACTTCGTATCAGGAAGAAGGAAAAGAAATTGTTGAAGAAGATACTGCAAATTATGTACGTCATTCATCATCTCCTACAGTGCAATCTATTCAAGGAAGAAAAAGAAAGCGTGGAGCAAATGAGACTTTTAATAATGCCTTATTAAATCTTGAAAGATAGAAGGTTCAATATTTGCAGGAAAAATCATCACGACAGCTCAAATATTATTAATAAATATATATAATTATTATTAATGAAACATATGTGTGAAATATATAATATATTACAATTAATATTATTTTCATATGTCAAGTTTTTTATTAATGTAATGTAAAACTAAATACATCATTATAGATTTAATCGATTATAATATCACAAATGTAAAATTCAAAAATAAAAATAAAATTAGAAATTAAAATTTAAAAAAATTAAATAAATTTAATTATTATTAATTATTAATTATTATTATAAGTATATATGTGGGTGTTAGTAGTAAGGGGAAGCGCGCTCGCTCCCTTCACTCCACACTTTGCAATGGGAAGATGTCGCTGGACAGGATGTCGTCAAAGATCAAGCGTCTTACTATATACAAGAATATATTTCCAGAATTATTTACACGTCGTAAGGTATATACAGGCATTTATGTTTAGTTTGCTTTTTGGGAGGCCCTGAAGAGGGCCGATTGGGCGCTGGTGTATGCGCCTACTGCAGGCGTTCACGCCACTGGAGCGACGGTGCCGTGGAGGTGTACCGTGGTGGACCCCACTTTGTTCGGAGCGCCGGAGGAGTCCCGGGAGGAGTGTAGCTCCTCTCTGGCAGCGGCGGTTCGTCCGTCTGGGTTACGGAAATGCGCGAAGCTTCTTCCCAGTCCGAGAGGTCCGACTGCGTGGCCCGTTCACAGGTGGAGGTGTTGGTCACCTGTGTAGCCTTCTCGGAGGTGGAGGCGAGCGATTGTGTTCCCCTATGTACCCTGCAGACAGGGTTGTTCTGCGTCTCACAGTGATAGCGCTCGTTCGGTGCCGGCGATGGTGGCAGCGGTGACAGGCGTGGAGGATAGCTCCAGCCGTACGTCGGCGACGTGTAGCGCCTAACCCTGACGTCCCACGTCGACAGGAAGTCTCTGCCCGGACGGGTGAAGCGCACCGGAGACAGCTCCAAAGGCTGCAGTTTCCACTCCCGGAAGGACCAGCTGATGTTCCGGCGAGTGGACGAGTTGGTTAATGGCTCCGCCGGAGGTCCGGTCCGCAATATAGGCCCCGGTGAGGTGGGCGGCGGAAGAGGACGTGGACGTTCCTCGTATGCCTTCTTTTTGCGTCTAGGCAAAGTGCGGAGGGTTTCTACGGGCGGACCCGAGTTCCGTCCGCCATCGCTAAGCTCGGTGCTACTAAACGAGAGAAATCCTCTCTAGCAGCAGTGAGCCGCGACTGGTGATATCGATCGGCTCCCTCCTTATATACTATCACTCGTTGGATCTCACTTCCTGGCGCCGACTCCCGGCTGCCGCCGCGTCGCGGCAAGCTCTCGTAGTTTATCGAGCTTGCACGTACTCAGCGCGTGAGTCTGGACGCGCGCGCTTGCCGCCATTTCGTAAGGGACGCGTTGGCTTTTTCGCGTGCCCGTGCTTTTGTGGTGGTTATCCGCCACATATATGTAAGTAGGTGAGATAGGCAGCCGCTAACCCACTTTTACAATGAGAGCGAAAGAGATGGATAGAGAGATAGAAAAGGATGGATATATGGATTAGAACAGTTTATAGACGACCGAGGGGGGAAGCGCGGACAGAGGGGAGAGGAGGGGGGGAACGTAGAGCGTGACGGGAAGCGCGGCGAGGGGGGTCGGGGGAGCGCGTGACGTCACGGGAGGGAGCGGGTACGAATCGCTAAAATTGCCCGTGAGATGGCGCTCGGCTCGATCGGAGGTCGCGGTTACCGACTCGCCCTACGTACCCCCCTTCTCTCCCCCTGTCCGCACGTCACCCCTCGGTCGTCTACAAACTGTTTTAACTCATATCTCCATCCTTTTCTATCTCTCTATCCATCTCTTTCGCTCTCATTGTAAAAGTGGGTTAGCGGCTGCCTATCTCACCTACTTACATATATGTGGCGGATAACCACCACAAAAGCACGGGCACGCGAAAAAGCCAACGCGTCCCTTACGCTGAGATCGCCCGGGAGATGACGCTCGACTCGATCGAGGTCGCGGTTTCTCCCGGCGCGATTTGTCCTTGGCGCGACTCGGTCCTTAAGGAGGCGACGGCGATTTCTCGCGCCGTATCTAGCGCGCGATCCGCTATTGTGATTCTTAAGGGACGCGCGTCGCTTCTAGCGCGCGATCCGCGAGCGGACGCCGGATGTCCGGCGTCGAGGGAGACGGAGAGAGGAACGGTTAGCGGCGATATGAGCGCGCTTGTCGCTCGAGCGAGATGGCGAATCACCGAAAGGTCGTGGAATAAAGAGAGATTGTTTTTTCGCGCGAGAGGAGGAGCGTTTTTATTGTTTCCTTTTACAATATTTTTAGTATATTAATAATGTGATAATACGAGTACGCGAATAAGCGTATCACAATTCTCCGAAGAGCAGAGCCTGCAGCTCGCAATCGACGATATCGTTGCGGTCGAAGTTCTCGTTATCGCGTATCATCGCGGGAATAAGCGCCGAATCGTGAGCGCCTGCCGCGATATCGAGAAAACGAGTCAGCTTGTTATCCACATGCGCGGTTAAACCGCTTAAAGATGTAACGATGCGGTTAACGCAAAGTTCTAGATTTAATATAGTTAGAACGGTGCTCTTCGATACGGCCAGACGAACCTTGGGTGTTTCGAGACGGAGTATTCGGAGATTGTTGAGTTTACCGAATCGCAACGTTAACTGTTCGATATATATCGGCGCTGGTGGACGCGCCTCATCGCGCTCGTCGGAGCGAAAATATGATAGAAGCGTAGATCGTAGATCGAGCAGTTTTTTCCACATATCCAGCGTTAGCGAAATCTCCTTGCCATGACAATCTCCAAGAACGATCGTAGATCGAGCAGTTTTTTCCACATATCCAGCGTTAGCGAAATCTGCTTGCCATGACAATCTCCAAGGACGATCTCCATAAAAGAGGGTCGACTAACGTTAACGCTGACTTCGAGATGTTTGTACGCAGTTTTGGTCAATGGGTAGCGTCTTCCTAAGATTCTGAGCGGCCGCAATATCGAAACATCCGCGTCGCGTCTAGGCGTTCGGTCGCGATCTCGTCTGAAAATGGATACGGGTGATAAGAGAAACGATGCTAGCGGATTATTAGTTCGAATAAACGTTTAATAGTCTTACCCATTGTCCTGTTTAACTCTTTTAGCATATCCCGCGCTATCCTCGCGGTCTCGCTCGGTTAGCCTCGATCGATCGTCGAACGAGTGCTGCTGTTGCGGTAGCCCACCCATTGTCGCGTACATTATCACTCGTTTTTTTCGTTCGTAGGCTTCGGCGTTCCTTGTCGACAATGAAGCGCTTAACTGATGGATGGTCTTTATATACTCGCGTAGAGATTGCTTCTTCCTCTTTCGCGCGCGTCCTCTCTTATATTCTATTTTTACAAAATGACGGCAGAGTCGCTCTAGTCGTCCTCCTCGTCGATTCTCTCTCTCTCGGTCGCGTCGCTGAGACAATAAACGCAACTGAGGAGATCGCGCAATTGTCTTAGCAGCACATCCGTAGGACACTCGATACCGAGCGCGTGTAGATCAAAGGACCCGCCGAAGTTACGATATTCGTAAATTCGTTAAAGGCATAAAACTGACGTTTGGCGAAGAAATATAGATTGCCGTCGATATATCGAAAGGCTGACGTTATCGCGGGCGGTATTCCGGGAAATATATCTTTTAATGGAGCGTGTCTAATGACTATCATGCGACACTCGTCGATCTCCGCTACCTTGTCGTCGTCGTAGATCGCGTAGGTTCGTCCCGTGTGCGTGTTTATCGCAGCGTTAATCTTAACGTTTCGGGGAAGTCCGATATCGTGGAGATATCTCGGCCAACCCGATTTTAGCTTAAGACCGGGATATTCCGCGAGGTAGATCGAATCGTCCGCAGCGTCATGGGCCTACCGTAGCGTTTCTCGATCACGTCGATTGACCACACATTAGCGATTAGCTATATATAATCGGTGATTCATTATCAGCGCGGCGTTCACGCGCCGTAAAGCGCAGAGATCCGCGCGCGCGGGGTCGATTGGCGCGACGCTCGTCGTAGCGGGCGCCGCGGTAGTCGCGGGAGTTGCCGTTGGATAGTTTCCGTTGTCGTGAGACCCGTACAGATTCTGTATAGCCAGAATTTCCTCTATGGTCAACTTAACCGGAAATTGATTCTCGATATCGGGTATATACGGAAACATTATCGAGTCGTTGCGCATGCTGTGTTGTAGACCCAAAGCGTGGCCAATCTCATGCGTCAGCGTTTGCAACAAATGATGCGTGTTGGGAGGATTTTTATTTAGATACACGTGCCACGGTTCCGAATCGTCAACGTGTACCTCTGACGCGAAATCGGTCATTCCAAAGGGAACGAACGCGTGAGCTAGAGCTCCCCCGGGACCGTCGAAGGTCGCCGGGCAAATGCCTATATTCCTGCGATTCGCGTAAGTGTGCGCGCCCGTTCAATACTATATCAATATATCGGGTCGCAGCGGGTCGCGCGCGAAGGTTAGCGACGAATTCACCGCCCATAACGCGAACGCCGCTTCGGCCGTTCGCGAGAGTTCCTCGTTAGCTACCTGAAAATTCCACATGAGGCGCGTTTTCGGCCATTTTCGCGCGATCGGGAATATCCGCGAGACCGCATCGCGATTTACGCATAAGGCTAAGCGTAACGGCGTCTAACTCACCGTTTCCCGATAATTGATAATATTCCTGAAACAGCGACAAACCGCGACGCAGAGATGTCGCGTTATCGGATGATAGCGATTCTCCGTCGTCCTTTAAGAAATCGTACGCGCGCAGGAAGCGGAGCGCCTCGGCCTTCTCCGAGTCGACGGGCGCGGCGACGAGCGTCGTCGCTAAGACGAGAAGAATCGTCTTCGCGTTAGTCATCGCGCGGAGCGGGGAAAGACGCGGGAAACTATCGAGAGACTCCGGGCGCGATTGATTCACGCGTTCGGCGAGACGCCTATTTTTATCGTCGGCGAATTCTACGTTGGTGGGGGAGGGGGAAATGCGTCGACGATTCGTTCAAAAAAGAGTCGCGGTCCGCCTCGATTAGAGGGACGCGCCCTTTCGACGACGAGCGAATATCGGCCGAGCGTCCAGGACGCGCGTTATCTAGCGGACGCTCAAGTTCCTCTCGCGGTTTTACTTTTTTTATTATTTCTATTTATATTATTCGTTTATCCTCTAAGAAGGACACTCGACGGGCGATTAGAGAAACGTACCCCTTCCGGCGACGATAAACATTCATCGCGTATCCGGGATGCGCGTCATTTAGCGGGCGCTCAAGTCCCTTTTATCGCATTATTCTTTGTTATTTTTCTCTATAATCTATTTTTATTACTCGTTTATCTCCGCTCGTACCGCGGCATCCGCGCGTCGATCCTTATAAACGCGAGATCGTTTCGAGAAGCGTCAAAGTATTCTCGCTCGCGAAATAGCGAAGTGACGAGTCGACGAAGCGCGAAACGGTATAAGAGCAAAGTGGCGAGGTGTGAAATAACGAGAATTAAAATCAGTCGCGAACTACTCGATATGGAACGAATCGAGCAGATAATTAACGCGGCCGATTATATTAATGTGAACGGTGATTTAATTGCAATAAAGGCTTACGTTTTGGGAGATCTCGCCTCGGATTTGCGCGAGGAGGCGCGAGGCATTATCGAGAACAGTCCGGATTTGCTCAGACTGAACTTTCAGCTGGATGGAGACATCGATATCGCGCGTTCAATGTAAGTATTCGATTACAATTTTTATAATACTTTTTATAATAAATTATAAT